CAGAAACGGTGCAAAGGGTGGTTCTTGGGTACCTGGGTGAAGAATTCCTTTATTTCAAAGCTCCTGAGGGCTCCATGGGCCCGGGGCCACCAGTCCCTTGAGCATCTTAGAACAGAAGCCGCTCTGAGAAGGCAGCAGGCAGTGGGGGAAAGCAGAGGGGCTGGGATTGGAACTCTCTGGGTGACCTTGGGCGACCCCTAGTGGGAAAGTATAGCAACACACAGCATGGCTGCAAGGATGCGTTTTGCAGCTTTCCAACAGATTTTGCTGATAATATATGCTTTTGCTGCAGGTACCAGGTAGAAATTCCTTCAGTATAATTTTGCATTGTAGCTTGCTTTTTATTCAGTTGTATGCAGCCCTGATGTCCTCAGTTATGCCATTGTATGTATGGAAGGGGGTTTCCTTTACTGGCAAATTTGGTAAATCTTGTTATTTATGTCATTGTTTTCCTTAGCTTTTACGGTTGTCGTCCTTTCCAGAGCTTATGAATTCCTACTAGAATCCTCTAAAATATATTTACGTAACAAAGGTGTTTTCTATAAAAGGACTTTAAGATCACATTCAACGCATGTATTTTAAGATTCATTTTATGGTGTTTTTAAGATTCATTCTACAGTATTTTAAGATTCATTTTATGTAATAACTTAAAAGTAGCACTTTCTATGTACAAGGCATTGTTCTATGTATAAGTTTATTTAATCCTCATAACAACTCTATGAGGTGCATATAATTATCCTTATTTTTTTTTGGCCGCGATGCAAGGTATGCAGGATCTTAGTTTCTCAACCAGGAATAGAACCCATGCCTGCTGCATTGGGAGCTCAGTCTTAACCACTAGACTGCCAAGGAAGTCCCTATTATCCCCATTTTATAGTAGAGAAACTGAGCCTTAGAGAGGATAGATAACATGCTCGAGTTCATGCCGTTAATAAATGGCAGAACCAGGATTGCAACCTAATTTTGTCCTCTTTAATTATTCCATTGTATTACCTATGACCTCAAAATTGTTTCTCCATAGCTTTCCATGTGAAATTGGGGTGCATCTTTTGTATCTTATAAACTAATAAATACAGTAATAATAGGTTAACCAACTTAACCTCTAGTCTGAGCCTTGGTTCTTCGCAGTGACCTTGGATCCCCTAGACCTCATCTATAAAATGGGGGCAGGCATGTGAAGAATTATATGAATTTTTTTTTAACTTAAAAAAATTTTGGCTGTGCTGGGTCTTTGTTGCTGTGTGTAGGCTTTCTCCTTGTGGCAAGTGGGGACTACTCTTCATTGCGGTGTGCTGGCTTCTCATTGTGGTGGCTTCTTTTGTTGCAGAGCGTAGGCTGTACACTCGAAAGCTCTAGAACGTAAGCTCAGTAGTTGTGCTTGGGGTTAGTTGCCTTCGGCATGTGGAATCTTTCCAAACTAGGGATCAAACCCGTGTCCCTTGCATTGGCAAGTCTCTTAACCAGTGAATTGCCAGGGAAGTTCCCTTATGCTGGTTTTAAAATCTTATGCACGTTTAAAAATTACATTTAAGTTATTAGGTGCTAGCACTCATTCTGTTTCTCCTTTCCCCACCCCACACATTGTTTTTTCCTCCCCACAACCAGGGATTGAACCTGGGCCATGACTGAAAGGGCCAACTCCTAACCACTAGGCCTCCAGGGAACTCCCCCCAGACATTGTTTTTAATATGTCTGTGTTGATGTAGGAACGTTGATTCATTGCATTGGAATGCTGCATGGTATTCCACAGCATGCGTCTGTCACATTTCTTATTCCTTCTCCCTGTGACAGGTTATGGGGCCTGCTGCCATCCGTGCTGGGGCAGTGGACATGGTGTCCTGCCCCTCTGGGTTTGCCCCCGGTTTCTCTGGGAGATGTCTCCAGCTGTGGACTTGCTGAGCCAGAGGGGCTTCACTTGTTCACAAATGCTGGCAAATGCTATCCTGCATGGGGGACCAGCCTGTCCCCATCAGCCAGCGTATGGGGATTCCCCCTCCTCTCCATCTTCGCCAGTGTTTGGTGGTATTATCTGTCTCTGATTGGCAATCTGACGAGTATAAAGTGGCCTCTTGTTTTTGCGTTCTGAACACCAGTGAGGTTGATAGATTGTTCTTGTTGGTTGAAATTCCTTTTTGTGAGTCTCCTGTTTATACACTTTGCTCATTTGTCTATTCGATCCTACAACTTTTTCTTTTATATTTTAGTTAGTAATTCCTTGTTTCATTTTAATACAGTAAAAATTCACCCTTTCTAAAAAATGAGTTTTACTAACACAACATTGTAAGTCAACTGTAGTCCGGTATAAAACAAAAATTTTTTTTAATTAAAAAATGAGTTTTAGGGAATTCCTTGGCATTCCAGTGATTAGGACTCTGCTTTCACTGCCAGCGACATGGGTTGGGAAACTGAGATGCGGCCAATAAAATAAAACCTGTTTATTAAGTGTTTGTATTTCTTCTGAGATTTTTTTTTTCATATTATTTCCCCATTTTTTCCTACTGACATGTCTTTTTTTTTTTTTTTTTTTTGCTTGTAGGGATCTTAGTTCCCTGATGCGGGGTTGAACCCTGGTCCTGGTAGTGAAAGTGCCTAAGAGTCCTAACCATTGGACCACCAGAGAATCCCCTTTTTCTTATTGAATGATTAAAGTTCTTTTTATAGGATAGTGTCATTAACTTTAAAAAAAATTAATCATGCTACAAATATCTTCTCCCCCTCTGTACTTGGTTTTAATTTTGCTTACAGTTTCTTTAGCCTTACAGAAGCATTCAATCTTCATCATTTAAATCCACTGGTCTTTGTATGCATGCGCATGCGTGTGTCTCTTCTGAGTTTTGTGCCAAACATTGAAACTTTTGGGGTCCTTTGCTATTACCTCTAAATGTTGCCTGTAAGAAATAAAACATTAGCTGCTGCTGCTTTTCTAAAAGGCTGCTGTGAGATGGTAATAAATGATCGAGTGAAAAATTCGCCTTCCTTTTGGGTCCTACATCTGTGCCACACGCATTCCTGTTCCCAGACTTTTGTTCAGATTGTCTCCATTCCTTGCAGTACCCTCTTCCTTAGCGCTTTCTGCAGCTTCCTCCTGGTCCTGCCCTTCCACGCACAGAATGCTTCCCTCTTCCCATCACCTGGGTTCCCTCAGCCCCTGGCCAGCTCTGAAACCAGTGAAGCTGCACTGGCTCCATCCTGCCACCCCTGGGTGTGAATCTTTCTCTGGGGTGGAGGGGGAGTGGGGAGGTTTGTTCCTGACCCCACGTCCTCGCCTTCTTCCAGGAAGGCCTTTGGTACCACGGTGGCTCCGCCGAGAGACCTGGACCCTGGTGTCGGGCACGCGTGGCCAGTGCTCTGGGAGTCCCAGGAATTGATCACAGTGAGTGGGTAACCAGGCTCAGTATCAGGTTGGGATGAGGGTCAGAGTCAAGGGTATAATGTGGTTGGGACGGAGTCTGGGGAGCATTTGGAACTCGTTTGGGGCTGGCTCCATCTAAAGTTGACCTCAGGGATTTGTGGGGCTCAGTTTGGAGGCAAGAGAAGGGCTTTCGTGGCTTTCTGCTGGAAAGGGCTGGCCACCGATGTTGGGGCAGTGGCCTGGGGGAGGTTCGGCTTCCTGGGCCAGTGCAGGGTCCCCTGAGTGCTCGGCGCTCCTTTGGCCCTGACCTCACACCTTTGACCCAAGCTGGGTCTAGCACCTGCTCACTGCTGGGTGCAGATGGGATGTGTCCAGTCCTGGCTTGAGCCCCTAGAAGGTCCAGAGGCCAGGGACCAGCTCTCCCTCTGCCCCAGACGCACTGGGTGACCTCAGGCGGCCCCTGTCCCTGTGGACTCTGCTCATTCAACCAGTATCTCCCTTCCCCTTAGGCTACAGGCGCCGTCATCAGAGTCCCCACTGTTAACAGGGATCCCAGTCCTGCCAGTCTCTTGGGATGGGAAAAGCTGTGGCTTTCTGCGCCACTGGTCACGTGGCAGAACTGACCCTCCAGCGGCGGAGGGCACACCCGCTAGCTGCCGTGGGGAATCCATTCTTTCTCACCTGCTTCCCCACCCGAAGGGGAAGAACCCTCCTCACGGCTCCCAAAGCCTCCCTGCTCTTCTAGGACCACCTGGCTTCCCAGGAGCATTGAGGGGACCCTGGAGACCCAGGCTCTAGTCCTGAAGGCTGTGACCTTGACCGCTGCCCTCTCAGAGCCCCAGAAGCCCCACTGGGATTTGCTGTGGTGGGTCCTACCGGTTCCCTCCCAGGAGAGCTTTTCCGCTCAGGATCTGCCTGCTCCCCCCCACTGGTCTGGTCTCAGCTGAGCCTTCCCTGGGCTGGGGGTCCGGGGGTGGAGGGGCAGCCACTGGGGAAGGAGAGGGAGGGAGGTGTTTGGGGCCTCAGGGCACCTTTATTTCACCCCAACCACAGACACACACACCCAAAGCAGTGCTCCACCTTCTATTAGAGGCTCTGCCTCCCCAAGACAAATGTCCGCTCTCTTGCATCTTCCAGAGCACACTCCCGGTGGGGTGGGGTGTGTTCTCGTGGCCGGGCAGGGTGGAAGGGAGGGGAGTGGCACCCTGTCCTCTGAGAGGGGACCTCGGTGAGATTCATGTGTTTGTGGCAGTGGCTGGGGAAGGGCTTGCAGGGGGGTGCAAGTGGCATGGTGTCCCAGACCAGGACACAGGGCCCTTCCTGTGGGGAGCAGCCGGAAGCGGGCAGGCAACAGCCGAGGCCGGGGCTCTCCTAGGAGCCTCCCCTTGGGGCCTCCTGGTCCAGCCCCCTGGCCCAGCTCCCAAGAAGATGGGGTTTCCACGGAGGGTCACCGGCCTCCCGTTGGCTATGCCCCAGGCCTGGTACGGTGCTCAGCCTGTTTCCTTCACTCGGAGCTGGGCCCCCGGCCCCTCAGAGGGAGAGTCCTCTGAGAGGGGGCTCTGGGCTCGTGGGCACGGAGCCGGTGCAGACGGTGTACGTGGGAGCAGGTGGCTGGGACAGGGGCCTGGGTAGGGGGCGCTGGGATGGCCTAGTCATCCTTGTCCTTGGCGCCATGTTTGAGGATGCGGGTGAACTCCACATAGTTGAAGTTGCCTTTCTTATCAATGGGCGCCTCTCGGTACATCTCGTCCACCTCCTCATCTGTGAAGCGGTCGCCCATGGTGGTGAGCAGCTCCCGAAGGTGGTCCTCATGGATGAAACCTGGGGGGGGCGGGGGGGGGTGAGGCGCAGGGCCAGGGCCTTGAGACACACCTCACACCCCCTACCCGGGGCCCCCACCAGGACTCGCAGACCTGGAGGGTGGGGGGCCGGGGAAAGACACAGCCCTGGTGTCTGTTCAGTTCAAGGTCACCAGGCCCAGCGGGAACAGTTCTGCAGTGGGGTTCTCTGCGAAGTGTTTCTGTGGGGGTGGGTGGGGGGCCCTGGGGCCGTGGGGGCCCTGCCTGGGGCTGTGAGGGTGGGGGGGCCCTGCCTGGGGCTGTGGGGGCCCTGCCTGGGGCTGTGAGGGTGGGGGGGCCCTGCCTGGGGCTGTGAGGGTTGGGGTGCCCTGCTTGGGGCTGTGGGGGTGCTGACTGTGCTGCTTGAAGAACCTGGGCCCCAGAGCACCACTGCCTGCGTCTGAATGCTCATCTCCTCTTCTTTCTAGCTGTGTGACCTTGGGCAAGTTACTTAACCTTTCTTTGCCTGTTTGATCTGGAAAATGGGGAGGAAAACATGCCAATCTAGTTAGGGAGCTGTGACACAGTCAGGAAAAGGTTCTGAACGTGCTTAGGCCTGTGGTGTGCCTCTGGTCCCTGAGAAACCACTGAAGCAGCTACTGCTGGCGGCGTCCCTGGGAGAGAGCCACAAGCCCTTTGGAGAACCTGAGGGTGGGGCTGGTTTCTATAACCTTTCGGCCCGCCGGCCTGAAATGGTTTGGTTTCTGGAAGGGTCAAAAGCAGAAGCCAGTGCATTGGGCCAGTAGGAGAGCTAAGAAGTGGGAAGGCTTGGGGGATGTGGTCTGTTTCAGTTTAGCCTTTGCGGGGGGAAAACAAGGAAGCAGCTTTTATCATTCTGGTGGCAGAAATAGGTGGACAGGTGATCTCTCCGGTCCTTTGGGGGCAGAGGGGGGCCCTGAGGTGCCAGCGCAGCCGGATGGCACTTGCACATGCGGGGTGCCCAGGCAAGGTGCGTGACCCCAGCCCCATCCAGGCCTCTGCCCCGAGGCTGCTGACTGACCTGAGGCCTCCTCGTCGAAGCAGGCGAAGGCGTTGCGGATCACGTCCTCGGGGTCTGTGCCGTTCAGCTTCTCCCCAAACATGGTGAGGAACATGGTGAAGTTGATGGGCCCCGGGGCCTCGCTCATCATGCCTTCCAGGTACTCGTCTGTGGGGTTCTTCCCTGTGGGGAAGGGCCGTCCGTGCCTGCTGTCACCTCCCGTCCCCTCCCTGCATAGCCCCATAGACAGGAGACAGTATGTTTAGTAAACAGTTGAGAAGTGTGAAAGGGTAGTCACTCGGTAGTGTCCAACTCTGCGACCCCATGAACTGTAGCCCACCTGGCTCCTCTGTCCATGGAATTTTCCAGGCAAGAATACTGGAGTGAATAGCCATGCCCTTCTCCAGGGGATCTTCCCCACGCAGAGATCGAACCCATGTGTCCTGCATTGCAAGCACCATCTGAGCCGCCAGGGAAGCCCTGGTGTTAGTAAACTAGAGCTGACTAGTTAACTTGAAAGTGAAGTCGCTCAGTCGTGTCCAACTCTTTGCGACCCCATGAACTGTAGCCTACCAGGCTCCTGCATCCATGGGATTCTCCAGGTAAGAATACTGGAGTGGGTTGCCATTTCCTTCTCCAGGGTATCTTCCCAACCCAGGGATCAAACCCAGGTCTCCCGCATTGCAGGCAGATGCTTTAACCTCTGAGCCACTGTAAACTGTACAGCCTCTCTCTGGGACCGCCGGCTCTGACAGCTCCGTCCCACTGATAATCACCACCCACTCCCCTGGTGGCCTCCACCAGTTTCCTCCTCGGGTCTGGGGTCTGGATATCCGCTGTGGGTCCCGCTGTCTGAGGTGGAAGAGCCCCCATCTGCGGATTGCTTCCTGCCTCTGGCACTCTGTGTGCCTTATGGCTTAAGTGTCACCACCTCAGCCTTCTTACCCCCCTCACCAATGTGGGACCTGAGGCTCTGAGGTGAGGTGCCTTGTCCTCGGTCACACAGCAAGTGAGGAGTGGAGCCAGCATTTGAAGCCAGGCAGCCGGACCCCAGACCCCAGGCTCAGTTTCGAAAGTAGTTAAACCAGTGAGCTTTGGTGTCACACAGGCTAAGGTCTGAATCCCAGCTCCATGCCTGCTTCCCCAGTCCCTGAGGAGAGCTGCGAAGATGAGGAAGGCAATGGCTGTAAAATGCACAGAACAGTGACTGGCATGGCCCTATGGACTCGAATCAGCTGCTGGGTTCAAATCCCAGCTCTGCCACTTTGTAGCTGTGTGACGTCGGGCAGATTACTTAACCTCTCTGAGCCTCTGTTTCCTCATTTATAAAGTGAGAATGATAATCACATCCACCTTTGAGATTTAAGATAATACCTGCAGAGCTGCCACTTGCTATTACTGTTTTATTATTTGCTGCTCTTGTTTTTAAACCTGAGGGTGATGGTCCTGATTCTTGTTTTCGGCTGTGCCACATGACCCACAAGGTCTTAGTTCCCCTATCAGGGATCAAACTCACGCTCCTTGCAGGGGAAGCACGGAGTCCTAACCACTGGACTGCTGGGGAATTCCCAGAGGGTGATGTTCTTAACCAGAGGCCCTGACTGACCTGTGGACCCACTGACTTGAGCCACAAACAGGAGTGGGGTTTTTCTGGGTAGACGTACAGTGTAGTCTCTGGGGTTGAGAGCCCAGGTGTGTGTGCTCAGTTGCTTAGCTGCATCCGACTCTCTGCAATCCCAGGGACTTGTAGCCCACCAGGCTCCTCTGTCCATGGAGGCAAGAAAATACTGGGGCGGGTTGTCATTTCCTACTCCAGGGGATCTTCCCAACTCAGGGGCCGAACCTGCGTCTCCTGCATTGGCAGGAGGATTCTTGGCCACTGCGCCACCTGGGAAGCCCGGGAGTCTGTCTCCCTGTCTCCTCTGAGCCCCACACTCGGCCGTGTCCCCGTGGGATGGCTGGTGCCTGAAGAGCTGTGACTGCAAGACACACAGCTCCTCTTCTGCCCAGGCCTCAGTCTTCCTTCGGGCCCCTGACCTTCCCAGGGAGGAGCCTCCAGTGAGTCTGCCCTGACGGTGGGGACCGTGTCCAGGGTCCGCCCTCCTGGTCCCGCGAGGTCATTTGCTGCTCTCACCAGACCCTCTGGGATGCACACACTGGCCACGGGCCAGAGTGGGGCTGCCCAGTGAGGGGTGGTGCCAGGGACTGACTCCGGCCTGACTGCCATAGGCTGCCTCCTCTGCTACCCGAGACCACCCCACCCCCGGCCAGGGTCTGACCCAGATGCTTTCACCTGGATGAAGGGGGCGCCAGGGACTGAGGGGGGTTTTCTGTGGCCAGGGCACGAGGAGGGATGTGGAGGCAGACCACCTTGGTGTCTGGTGGGCTGGCGTCTGGAAGCCTGGCCTCTGGGCCTCAGTTTCCCCACCTGGGCTATGGTGCAAGGTGCTAGATTCCTGAGGCCTTTCAGCTCTGAGATTCTGAGTCTGGGGAAGTCACTGGAGTCCGCCTCTCAGAGTCTGACACAGGTGACCTCTGAGGGAGCAAGGAGGTGCCCTGGCCTCCGCTCTAGGCCTCAGTTTCCCCATCTGTACAATGGAAAGTCTGTGCAGTTTTGTAGCTGCTGATCCTTTTCCTTCAGTGAAGTGGTACCAGGCAGTTGAAACCACAGGTGTGCCTGAGGCAGGAGTGGGCCTGTCTGGGTTCAAGTCCAGTGCCGAACTGCTCTGTGCCTCAGTTTTCCTGTCTGTTAAATGGACAAAGAGGTGGCAGCTCCTCTCCAGGCTGGGCGCCTCGGTCAATACACGGGAAGTGTTCCCTGACGGATGGGTCACCCCACCGCCTGCTCCAGCTGCAGCCCTCGTGGGACCACTCAGCCCCCTGGCCCCGCCTCTGCTCACCCATCGAGGCCAGCATGTCGTGCAGGTCCTCCTTGTCGATGAAGCCGTCTCGGTTCTGGTCGATCATGTTGAAGGCCTCCTTAAACTCCTGGATCTGGGACTGGTCAAACATCGCGAACACATTGGATGTGGCCCTCTGTGGCCGCTTCTTGGTGGTCTTGGCCTTGGCCCGTTTACTGGACATCTTGGCTGCAGGCGTGTGGGGCTTTCCTGTAGGCAGAGGGTGCAGATGGGAGAGCCAGTGATCCTGGGCCAGAGAAGTTTCTGGCCTACCCCCACCCCACTCGGCTGTTGGCGCCTGGGCCTGGCCTTTGTGCTCCTATAGGCTGGGGGCTCCTGCCACCCGGCTCATCACAGAAGCAGCCAGTGTTGGCCCTGTGACATGATCTGAAACAACTTCCTCTACCTCTCCGAAGTGTTTCCTCATCTGGAATGGGATAGGAGTGCCCAGCCAAAGGGATCCATTGACTTGTGCCCGAAAAGCCCCTGGCATGGTGCCCGGCCCAGAGGAAGCTATTTTTGCTGTCATGGTTTGGGTAGACACTTAGGATTGGGTTCGGTGCCAACTGTTTCCGTGCTTTATCTCCCTTAATCCTCAAGAGCATTCACACCATCCATCTCTCTCCCAGTGACAAGGTGGGCAGCCTTGGGAGAGGCTCCGAGGCTCCCTGCCCCCAGCAGCAGGAAGGAGCCGGGTCAGCCCTGCATTCCTGACATTCCTCCTCCTCCTCTGGAGGTTCTGGAAGGCCAGCGCTCTGGGCAGCCTCCCTTCCCCCCACCTGTCCCCACGTGACCAGCCCCTTGGTGGGGGGACAGACCTGATTTGGGTCCTGCTCTTTGTTCTCCCTCTTCAGTGCTTATAGAAGCATAAAGCTCCCCCAGACTGAGCACCCCAGCTTCCTGTCACCTTTGTTTAGGCCTGGCCTCCAAACCTCCAGCCAGTCTCACCCATTGCACGCAGACCCCAGTACTTCACCCTGAAGCCCTTGAGGGTTCCTGCCAAACCCCTCTCCCATCAGGCCTGGCACGGAAGGAGGCCCTCTGAGCCTCTCCTACCCTGCTCTCTGACTGGCCTTGTCATCCCTTTTGCAGCTGTGATCCTGCCCAGCTGGACCTCTGGCTGCTCCCAGGTACCCCCAGACTTTCCTTCTCGGTTCTCCCCCTGGAACACCCTTCCTTCTTGAGCCCAGTTCTTCAGACAACCCTTGGGGAGCAGTCCCCCCACTCTGGCTTTGACAGCAAGCACTTAGTCTCTCTCCATCACAATCAGTCAGGGCTGGTGTAAGCACCCTGAATTATACCCAAGCCCATGGTGACACTCAGATTCTTGTTTAATGAATGACTATGAAGGCAGCTGCAGCCAGTCTACTGACCCCACTGTACAGATGGGGAAACTGAGGTGCAACAAGGTGCTCTTTCCCTGAACTCTTCTCATAGCTTCTGGGGACTGTTCTTCTGGGGCAGTTTGGGGCCCCAGGGCTGCTGCCCCTCTTTCCTCTGTCCTGAGTCTCGTGGTTGAGGATCTGCAAGAAGCCTTAAGTGCTCCTCCATCTATCTTCCAGGCCTTTATCCCATGACCTTGTTCAAGCCATTCTGGATCTCTGGCCTTTGAGATCTTAAACCCTGAGCTGGGACCCTGGCCAGCCCCAGCCTCTCCCCACAGGCACAACTGCCTATAGTTATAGACTGTCCCCCTGGACCCACACACCTGGCCTTCAGTGCTTCTCGTGTGGTTCAAGGTGGGTAGACAAAAGCCTTTCCCTTTTGGGAAAGGGTAGGGCGTGGGACGGTGCCGTCGGCAGGGAGTGCCACCCTCTCCTGTATGAGTGCTTCGAGGCACCCGGTTCTTCCCCGGGCCGGGTGTTCTCTGGGAACTTTAACTCATGACACCCACAGCAGGCAGCTGAGAAGTCCACCGTGCCCAGCAGAGATTGTCATGGTCCCCATCAGTCACGCCACCCCCATCTGTACAGTTCTAGAGCAGACGTGGCAGGAGTGGCCGAGAGCTCACCCACTGCTCTGATTCTGCCTTGGCTTCCCTGTCTCCGTGGCCGCCCCATCCCCACCCTCTTCTTTTGAGGGGCTGTGACAGGGCTTGGAGCACTGAACTTCACAGTTTGTCCATCCCAGCAACCTTGGGGAGCAGGGTGGGGAAAATGGGGTGCTCTCACTGTGCAATTAAAAGAACTGGTGTGCCCATAAGAGGGAGAGAGTCCAACTGGAAGCTGGGACCCCTGGGCTAGGCTTAGGCCTGGGGGTGGCAGATGGCTTCTCCTGGTGGGCCGATGGCAGTTGAGGGGCACTGTTGTGACCAGAGGCAATTTGTAGGCTTGATTGAGGAACTGGGGTCAGAGCCAGGCTGAGCTCTTAAAGACCTGAAGCCATCGCTGCCTCCTCCTCCTGGGGGTCCTAGACACCAGGGATCAGATATAACTGGTCCTTGGCCTGCTCCAGCTAGGTGCCACCTCCCTGCTTCTGATCCCGAAACCCCACTGTAACAGCACAGACACAGCCTGTGTTCCCCATTACGTCAGGGTCTCTCTGGCTGGCAGTGCCAAGCTGCCTTGTTGGTAAACTCGCCTCCCTGGAAGGGGGAGTTACCTGACTCTTTCCCGAAGTAGCCAGAGCAGCTGCAGGGCTGGGGAGGAGCGGGGACCGCTTCCTGCAGCCCAGGGCCTTGTCAGGCCAGCGGGTACAGGGGATGAGCCCTAAGGCCCTCGGCCGAGCTTCCCCACCCAGCAGGCCTAGGGGGGCAGTGGACTCAGAGCAGGGAAGCCCTGGGATGGCACTCAGCGTTGGTGTGATGGCGGAGACAAGTTACCCCAGGCTCCATCCCTCTTTCCTGCCCCAGGAGATAGGGGAGGGGTCAGGGATGCTCCGCGGGAGCCTGGTAGGGCTGTTTCCCGTCTGTGACACAGACGGGTCCTCTAGAGCAGGGAATGCCAGCGACCCCACGCCCTTCCCGGGGTCAGCGTCTCTAACTTCACAGCGAAGGGGCAGGGCCTGAACAGTCTTCCCTCGCTGCAGGCCTACTGCTTCCCAGAGCCTGTCCAGTCTCCCTGCTGCCCAGCCGCCTCCCGAATCCCCGTAGGACGGAGCAACCTCGCAGCCCCAGCCCTACGATCTGTCCCAGCCCAGAGATCCTGCGACCCCCGCCTCCGCCCTCGCGTCCCCAAGTCCCAGCCGCGGCCGTCACACCGCCCACTCCAGACCCCCCGGGCCGCGGGGCTCCAACCTGGTGCGGAGAAGGTGCTGGCGCGGTGTGCGGAGCGGCTGCGGAGCCGGGGCCGTCGGGCCGTCGGTGGGGTCTGGGCCCGGGGGTGGGGGCGCGGGGCGGGGCGAGGCACCGGGCCTTACAAGGCAGAAGAATGTGCGGCGGCGGGCAGGGGCGGGGCCGCGGCAGCCCGGCCTTATTTGGCCGCGACCCACGGGCCAGGGAGGTGGGGTGTTCCCGGGTGAACCCCCCAGGCTGCGAGGGCCTTCCCCAAGGTGGGCCAGGGGAGGTGACGGGGGCGAGTGGGGGGCCTGGACAACCCGGGGAAGGGGGTCTGTCTGGGCCGGTCCTTCCTCTCTAGCGAGGCCTCCGGACCTCAGACCCCACCCCCACCATTCCCCCAGAGCCCGCGCCCCGGCCTATTCCCCGGGGAAAGCTTCTTTCCACCAGGCCAAGTAGGGCTTTTTTCCACTCCCAGAGAAGAGCCGTGTCAGAGTGGATCTGCTGCACTCACAGGTCCTGCGGGGGTGGGGCGCCCATGGGCCTTGGGCCGAGTCACTCCAAGTGCCCTCGTCGTCCCCACCTGCAAAAGGGGAGGGTGGTGGTGAGACAGTGGCCAGAAAGACCCACGGAGGCCCTGGGGAGCCAGTGAGAGCTGGGATCGGTGGACTCCTGGAGCATCCTTGCCAGTGGGGCTGCACCCCCAACCCCTTCTTGTTGGCCTGAGTCAGAGGATGGAGGCCGGGAGGACAGACCCATCCCCTCTGTCTTCACCATCAGGCCCTGTCCATCACTGTGACCCCCCAAGGCCCAGCTTACCCATCAGCCCTGGCCCAGACTCCTGCCTGCCGCTTTCTCTCCCTCCTTTTGATCCAACTCAGCCGTTCCATTCCCAAGGGAACTTTTCAACATCCAGTTACTTACTTGGTAAATATTAACTGACACCTGCTACCTGTCTGGCACGAGTGCTGGGGAAATAGCAGTGAACTATAGTGATTGCACTCAGGAAGCTTTTGTTCTTGTGGAGAGAAATGTCATGAACAAGTAGTACATGGCTTGGAGAGTAGAAACAAATGCCTGAAAGGAGAATAAAAAGAGGTGAGGGGAGAGAGAACAACAGGAGGTAGGGGCTGCCTCCCAGGAAGGAGGTGAGGGAGTGAGCCCAGCCTGGTGAACACCTGAGACAGAAGCCCTGTAGGGGCGCTTGTTCAGCTCATGGTCAGGGAGCTGGGAGAGGTGAGTGTCACTGAGGGATGGGGGCTGGGAGAGGTGGTCTGAGAAGCAGTAGGGACTTAGCCCCAGGGATCCTTGGGTTTGCCTTTTGGTGGGTGTCGAACCAATAGACACTGCCAGGCCAAAGATCAGGAGGAGGAAGGAAATATTATTTCTTGCAGTCAGTAAGGAGAGCATGGGGAATCTTTCCCAAAGCAGTGTCTCCCTGGACAGCAAAATTGGGGGAGGCTCAGCTGGTGAAGAATCCGCCTACAATGCGGGAGACCTGGGTTCCATCCCTGGGCTGGGAAGATCCCCCGGAGAAGGGAACTGCTACCACTCCAGTATTCTGGCCTGGAGAATTCCATGGACTGTATAGTCCATAGGGTCACAGAGTTGGACACCACTGAGCAACTTTCGCTTTCACTTTTAAGCTAAGGGTACGTGCATATTCATGAAGGGGTTAAGCAGAGGAGAATTCCTCATAGAATTGGGGCCAGGGTTGACTTAAGAGATCAAACTTTAGTTGATAGAAGTCAAGAAGGTCATCATTCCTTCCTCTACCTGGGTGGGGACTTTAGTTCCTGCAGTACTCAAAGATGAATTGTTATGTATAATCCCTTGAAGAGGAACTGGGACTTTATCACCTCTTTATCATGGTAATGTTTGACTGCCTTTTTTCTGCATGCTATTGTTCCCTTAAAATCATTCATTACTGAGAACTGTTCAAGGACAAGCATTGTGGCCTGGCTTAAATC